GATGATTAGCACCATCACCGGGAAATGTGTAACTGTGTTCAGTTTCAGTAAATATATTTTAACAAAAGCATACGTACATGTACAAGAGTAGCTCCCTTCAGTATTGACGCAGTCTGCATATGGACCACAGATATTCACTTGTGCACACTCATTAATGTCTGCAACGTTCGTGATCAAAGTTACATTTTACATAATGATGTCAAGTTTCACAAAAAGCATGAATAGATATCCAGTTTTACAAGTAAAGCGATTACTCCTGAATGTATATGTACAATCAGCATGATAAGCTGACCCAAGATTATCTTAAACAGTTGCTACGAAACATTCTACACTTCAAAATACCCCCTTATTCAAGATATGCCATACTTGTACATTGTGTGTATTTGTGTCTATAGTACCTGAACACATAGTGCCGTTGGATTTACCAAACCCAGTCTTGCACTGACAGACATAGCTTCCGTCCGTGTTGACGCAGGTTGCATTAGGGTCACATATGTCCTTCTTTAGACACTCGTTTACATCTGAAATAGAAATACGAATAGGAATTCACTGGCTAAATAAGTTTCCTTGTCTATGTACCAAAGTGTTAGTGCTGTACACCATAATACTGTCCTAAAGCTTCTCTTACAACCGGTCGTGTGTGCTTCTACGAGCGGTTTGCGTGCAAAAAATTGGCCAAGTAGTAAGACACACGCACGTGGAACGTACTTTTTTGGGTGGACGCAAACACGACGCAAAGCAGGCAGCCCGAAAACTGGCCGGCCAGTTTTTCGCTACGACCTGTCTGCGACAATTAGGACGCCTGGAGCACGCTCGTAGCACGCAAGACAAAAGTACTGAGTAAGTGCGCTAGGCGTGCGTGTAACGCAGGAAAAGCAAATTCCGGGGTATTTTACCAGGAAGACGTACTTACCACGCAAGAGACTCGTACGTTCAACTTGCTTTCAATGTACGTGTTAACAAAAAGGGGGGTGAGCCCACTTCCTCCGTGCGTTTATCTTACTTCTAAAGTGCGTGGCGAGTACTACTACCATACTTGTGAAGTGCGTCGCACTAAGTGCAGGCGATCCCGAGCAACCACCGCAAGCATTGCGTCGTGATCTTCGGTCTCCTCTAGCATTAGCAGCTGTAGAAGTCGATGGCGCATCATTCTTGGAAGTGCCATTTTGGAAGCCAAAACAGTGAATGATGAAGAGACTCGGTGCTCCCTTTTATATTATTTATTATATTATCCGTGCGTTCCACTTCCGTGCTTATTACGTTTCTCTTACGTTTCTCTTACTTCGTAAGTTTGATTTCTGAAAACGTACGCTTCACTTGCAATACACGTATGATTATCCTACTCACTGTGCGCGACACAAGTACAAATCGTACGTGCTCCTTACTTCTTCCTACTTCCAAAAAAGGCGTACAGACCACTTGCGGGCCCCACGTTTAGAGCACGACATACCTACTCAAAAAGTACTTACTACTTCGTCCGCTGCGATTTAATTTTCATCCTGCGACAACGCTACGTCTGACAAGAACTCCGAGGACGCACGATCTCTAAGCACACACGACGGGTTGTAAGAGAGGCTTAAATAGTGAAAGCAACTTAACTGCCCTTACAAACAGATCATACGTTTTCTAACTCGAGCCTCAGATTTGTGAGCACAAGTATCCAAATTAACGACTTCAGTCACAAATTACTCGCCACAAGCACAGTGTTTCGATACACAAATCGTTACACAAATCGTTCATCCGCTTATCTACCCGTTTATTGCGTTCCGTATGAGCAAGTGATTGTCGACAAAGCAAAAAGAACCTTTAGGGGGCCTATACACCCTGTACAGACAGAGACCCAGAAGGAAGCTGGCCAAATGTTTTTGTTATGAAAGGTCAAGCTAATGGCAAGTAATTCTGCGTTAGGGTAGTTTTAAAATTCCTATGGCTGGAGTTGTTAATCTGTGCATTTGTGCCCCCAAAACAGTGTAAGAATCGTGCTAGAAACGACAAATAGCGTTTATGAGGCCTGGTTTATATTTGTAATGAATATCGATAGTATTTAAATTGTATGAAACAAGTCACCTTTGCAAAGTCCATTTCCATCACTTCTGAAGCCTGTCTTACACTGACACTTCCACTTGGTACCAGAACACGTGCAGGGGACCCCGTCACATTGGGAGCACGGTGAGGGGGGTTCTTGGGGAAAGAAACACATGTACATTACCATAGCCCAGGTTAAAAAACGAAATATGGAATTACATTTTATAAATTTCAAAACAATTTACAAAGCAAATACACAAACCGTATCAAATATGGGGAAATGAATCGATTTGAATTATAATACCTGTTCTATTGGTCCACCAAGTGGTACTGACCGCGACGTCACACACACGACAAGCTTCGTTTACAGGGTCAGTTTCTCCGTTTTCATAGCAGTACCCGTTGATTAGACAAGCATCTGACTGGAAGTATTAGAAACAATACCGCACTCAGTATGATATAAGTGATAAAACAGATACTATGCGAAACAGTTTAAAGATCACGTAATATAGAGAAACTAACGGTGAATACAGTAAACAGCGCGCGCGCCTTTCCTAAAAACGACACTAAATTCTCACCAGATGCTCGTTTTACTGTATAGGGGGTGGCGAAAGTATTGCATCACCTATGTGAATGCGCTATATGGCGTATTCCTAAAAAGTGATTCGCGATTTGTTGCTTGCGTAACCAGTGATGAATTTTCATCAATATACACCTTGATGTAAATGTCCCCCAAAATAGCCGCCAGATAGGGTGTGTCTGGCCAGACTGTATCTAGGGTTTGCAGAAGGATGGAGTTCACTGCTGAGACCCATAATCCAGCAAGATGTGGTCGCCGGAAGAAGACTAGTGCCAGAGGCGACAGGTGACTTTTTATGCTGCTAAATATATAAGGCTTTTTAAAAAAAGATATAAATCGTGCAGTGAATAAGCTTAGCAGTGGTCTCGTAATTTGCGGGTTGGGGTTAGCAAAATACTGGTTCAAAGAAAGTTCCATGTTACAGGACTTCACACCAGGGTTTTCAGGAGAAAAAGCACTTTTCACCCACAGGACCAGTGTTGTACAAGAGTGGCTTTACCAGCATGGTATCAACAGGGTGGACTGGCTTGCCCAATCACCAGACGCAATTTGCTCAAATCAAGTAGAAAAGGATCGCCCCTTTACCAGAATCGCTTTATTCCGTTGCCGTCAGAGCCTGGGCCAACAGTAGCCCCCAGAAGATGAAGCGTTATCAGTCTATGTCCTAGGACGGTGGCCATATAAGGAACAGGTGGTTATCCAAGAAAATATTTTAATATATTAAAATAATGACATAATAACATGCGTAATGTGAGGACAAATTATTGGTTTGTAAAACTCTTGTAAAGATACTAACTTAACATAACCAGTTACAATTAAATAGTAATTAAAAATATAAAAAACCCAGCTGTTCACCTCCTAGCAAAACTGAGCAATACTTTTGTCACTCCCTGTAGTATCTTACTTTACTATTTAAAGTAAAATGCATTTTGACTTGAAATTCTAAGTGAAACAGTCATACGCATACCTTCAAGGAACAAACATGGTTACTGCAGCGTATACAATGGGAGTCGAAGACCGTTACTCTTGTCGAATTAACCGAAAAATTTTGTCCGTCGTTACTTATTTGTAGATCAAAGCTTTGGATGGGAATCCCCCGTGTCGTCGTTTCCACTAGTGGGGTATCTATGGCTTGCTTCGGTAGTGCACAAACTATCTCAGCATACGATATCAACTCCCCGTTCACCTCGAATGTTCTCTGCAGAGTTTGTCGACTTCCAGTTGCAAAATCAACCTGAAAGTCAACGAATCAAACTAAAACTAAGCATTCATTCAAGTTACCAACCTGTGCATTTATAGTTTGTTATATAATATAGAGCAGTATATTCATGTTCAAGTGTACAATTAGACATGAATGACAGTCGCGTCCACATTTTTCAATAAAAGTAAAGAGTACCTGATGCATGCTGAATCGACATGTAAGACCAGGTCCATCCAATAGGTTTGAGGCACGGAGGGCAATTGCTTCACATTCACGGTCTCTTACATTACAGAGGCCACCGCCATCTATGCCTCGGATAACTGGAGGACTGTCCAGTATAACAGAGCAGTCTACTGACCCCCGTCCAGGATTGCACTGGCACACTCCATCAACACAAGTTCCTTCACCGCTGCATCGACCGGGGCAAAAAAGTTTTCTCAAGTCTGCAAAGTCTGGCATGTCGAACAGCTGAGAAGTAGTAGGTGTGATATCTGTAGGGTTTGGAGATACACCAAGTGGCTGAGTGGCTGTTGGGTCAGTTGTAGCTATTTTGATTTTACCGGCTTCATTGAGGCAAAATGATTCCATACCCCCCACTGCAGCTTCGACAAAGTCATAACCGTCTGAAGTCTGAAACAATTAAAACTGATAACATTTTTTGGGGAAAAGGATAATATGATAAAACATCTGTTAAACAATTTCTAGTATTACTTCATATGTAAAATTCTGTTTACATTCACATTTTGAAGTGGTGTTCACATTTTATCGCATGGGCTCAACTTACGTGTATGTCGTCCACACATTGCTTTCTTATCGGAGTCATGTCGAAGCCAGGTACTTTTTGACACAACGCATACATGGGCGATTCTCTTAGTTTGCCCTCGCAGTATGCCTTTGCATGGGCCTCTGTTTTTCCTGATTTGGTGGGCCAACCTTCGTGTATTGGAGGAATTAAGTTATTTTCTTTGTAATTAAATACATAACTAAAGCGTGAAAAATCTTGGATTTCATTGTCATTTATATCTTGCCTAGCACGTAGATCCCTTCTCCGTCTCCCCCTTGAAGTTCTACCGATCTGCCTTGGAATATCTTGAGATATGTCTGTCGAATTTTCAACATGTTCCTTGTCAGTTACCAACTGACTGAAATCACAAACTGTAAGGTTTTTGGCTTGGCAGTGACAGTAGTGATGGTCTTTGATAATACTTCCTACGTGTGATGGCGGAGTCGTTATAGGGACGTTGGGGTCAAAGTAGGTAGCACTGGAGCCGATGCTAAATAAGACGAGTTTTAACTACATTAAAGTGAATAAAACATATAAAATTCTATCTCAAAGCTTCCCTCCACTATCTAATGTCAGGAAATATAATGTAATTTTCTTCTGCATATCAGAATTAAAACGATGCATATGATGTAGGAAAAAAACACTTAGTAGTCCAAGGGAACCAACGTTTTGGTGAAGCAGAAAAACATAATAAGGGAGGGCAGAAAAGAAAACTATTTTCAATTGGTACAATTGGTAACGAAGAAGGGAAATAAGCAGAAATCATCAATCAGTTATTTTCATAAATAGGGTTAATGCCGTAAACTGATGTATATTGAAAAACTGGAATCGACACAGAGAGTGTATTTAAGCTGACATTGTGAATAAACCTGCCTCCACACATCTTTTTAGCACATTAGGAAGACATAAAAAATAAACAAAATAAAAGAGCATACTTAGGCAAAAAAGTCGGCGTATCGTCTCTTATGTCGCCATTTAAGTTCCCACAAAGCCCACTAACTTTGGTTGCCTGTTGTCTGAAGTATGACGGCACGTGGACACGTAGATCGAGGTAAGTAATTCTTCTACTGAATATAGCTATGACTACCCGCGCTCCGGAAGAAAATTGAATCTGAAAATATTCAGGAAGACTATTTGTGCTTTATATATATAAATCACCTATCACCTTCTCTACATTAATAGATGTCAATATTTCGTACTTTAAACCTTCCAGCAAATTATATTGGCACAAACGAAAATTCGAATTTGAATTCAGAATACGGATATATACACATTTTTGGACACCGAACTGTAAAATTACCGTAAACCTTTTTCCTCCTGGGTGTTTAATGTAATGTGTGTCAGGAACCGGAAAACTTTCTGCATCGTCGTCTACAGCTCGATACCATATGTTCGGTACAACTTCATGGCCTCGTATAATTTTTTGGATATGTGCATCTTTGCATATGTCCAAAATGAACACGTCGTTATTTTCTCTTGCCGCCACTCCACAATTACAATACCCATTAAAACCGAATCCGCAGTTATTGGTTCTCTGATGCACCTGTTTATTATATTAAATATTTAAAAATGTTAAAATAATCAGAAGACATAATAAAAAATACTTATATCATTTGAATCAAACAACACTTTTGAGTGACAGGTCTCTCGAAAAAAATGCAAATGCTTAATAAAACACCGACTGTGAACTTGAACCATTTTTATCAGAGTTTTTAGACTAGCCGCTACCGGCCTGGTTTTTCCCAATATCTTAGGCAATCTTTATTAGTTTGACATTGTGTTATGATACACGAATGTATAACGGTTTTTTACATGGTGGTGGTCCTTTAAAACCAACGGGCCATGACATGGAAGGGCGCTTTAGGTGCAAAAATTGACACTTAAGCTTAATTGTTTATAAAATATTAGCCCAGATGTTCCTTAACATAACGACAAATAAAAGGTTTTGAAAGATTCAAATGTTTACATAAAACCAATTACTTTTAAGATAATTAATAAAAAAAAACATAAAATCACTTAAAAATCACAATAATCAATCACGATAATCAATAAAAACGCTTTATTAAAAAACATGTTTTTAGCTCCTTTAAAAATTATTTGTTTTAATTGGCCGGATTTACATTTTAGTCCATAAAGTCTGGTCTGGCCGAAATACGTCTAAAAATAAACATGGCCATTTTATGTAATATTTTATTTTAAGTCTTTCACATCACCCCAATATGTTAAATTTGTTTGTATACTCTCTATACATACATGTACATTCAGACAAAAACAACAATATGTTAAAAGAAAATTGGAAAATATAAATCGTATATTACAATTTCATAGACGAGCACCCATCTAAACATATACTTTTTTGTTTTTCGACTGTAAGGTTAAAAACATTAATGGTCAATGTCTTTTTCTATCCTGATATTAAATACTGTCATTCTATTTTTTACACTGCATTTTTACAAGTGTTTGTGTGACTGATTCTTAGGTTGGAACATTTGGTTGCACGGGTATTTTGTTTGCTTTTGAAAAAAAGGTTTTCGTAGGGGACTGCATCTGGTATTTGGGCAGGTCAGTGATCGTTCAAACGTTAATTGACCTTCATTGGGCGCTGGCTTCACTCTACTTTGATCACTTTACTCTGATACGGGAGTTATTATAATTATAAAAATTTGCCATCAACGATTTATAAAAGTAACTCCTTGATATTCCCAAAATGTTGGGTGGCTGAAGGGATCTAACTATCAAGTTGATTGAACTGGCAAAATCTTGAATTAATGAATTAATTATTGAATTAATTAAAGGCCAAATAAAATACTACTCATACGTCAATTATATATGTGTTTGTCTGATTTGCCCCAAAGCGACATTTGTATATACTGTACATTGTTTTTAATCCTAAAAGACAATTTTAAGGGTATTGTAACCATTTATTATCATCCAGATATCGAGAACGGGGTTTTTCCTGCCTCTAACTATTCAGTAATGCATCTCCCTTTGTGCTGACTTAAGACAATAAAAAAATAAATATAGGCGTTTATATTTCTCATTGTAATGAATAAGCAACTCATAACTCTATTTTAAGTTGAGATAGTAAATGGTATGGTGCATAACTTTATCCCTGAACAAGATTTTATCACGGGAACAGGCAGAGGTGACCACGAGTGAATGGACTACAATCCCATGTCGTCATTTTGGTTTAAGTGATTTTGTTATGAGCCCCTAATTAGAGATTTTCATTAAATAAAGGCATTTTTATGCTTTATCAACGATAACAAATGAAATAAGACTTTTAAGAAAAATTGATGGCAGTGTTTGGGGATCACAAATGGTGTCATTAAATCGACGTTTAAACGGTGATCGTGGGTGCACAGGTAAAAGAGAAATTTTAGAAACCTATTGTTCAGTTTTACCTCAAAATTGCAATTATGACCTCACCCGTACGATGTATAAATGTTAATAAATTTAGTTCTTGAGCACTGAATATATCTCTTTTACCCAAATTAATGTATGTAGAGCAGTAAATAAGGCGTTTTGGGGCGAACGCTGACAGTACCTTAAGCTTAACTTTACAGTAGGATGTCACATTCCTGCTCGGTTTCCTCATCGATAAAATGCATTTCAGCCTAAAAAATTGCCTTTTGCCTCAAATATATACATTCTGTCTGCCATACCTGCAGCGCGATGTAAGTGTTTAAAATAATTCTTCCAAAATATTAACATCGACTTTCACTGATTGTATCAGTGTAAATTATAAAATCTTACAACTCAGTTCTAGTGTAGTTTCAATATCATTTACAAGTATCGTGAACTGACAAGCTTGCAATGCAGAGCACCGTTCAGTTTACTTGTAAGTTAAAATACATCACGGTCGTTCCTCTACATGTCAGACATATACCTGTAATTTTAAACAGCCAATAAGAACAGGTACGTTGTTACTATGATTTTATCCGTAGGTTTCCTCTTTTCATGTCAAAGCCTATTGGTTTTATAGAACGACCACCCTTTAATAAACCGCCATTATTTGACATATTTTATTTTATAAGGACATCGATTAGGATTTAGACACCATTTTGTTGTAAAATTTTATTTTTAAAAAATCTTTAAATTAAAATATAATACCAAGCCGAAAATAGATTGCAGAAGGAAATAAGATTACTTTATTAGCCTCTTAATCAGAGTCTAATATTTGCGTGTCACCCAAATAAATGCTCATGGGACATCACATAATCAATGAAACAAGAATATCCAAACCCCACCTCAAAATATAAATCGTGTCCCATAGCTTTAGCAAGGATAAACTCCCCTTCTTCTTGATTGGAATAGTACCTGTAATGAAAATTAATAGTAATTTATTGTGCACTAAAATGTTTCAGTACATTTTACAGGCCCTCTAAACTACTAGTGTTATACATACATGTAATATATATCTAGACCTATTATCACACTTATGTGACATCAGTCTTACAAGCGTAAATGCATATAACATAAGTTTTTTAAAGTTTGGAGGAGTAATAAACTTATAAATATTATTTTTATCCGACATGTGACCTATTATCAAACGTCTTATCAGGTAAACTATCTTTTCTTATCCTACTTCGCTCATTACCAAGAAAGTACTGTTGTAAGGTTAATGGCTTACATGTTCACTAATAATCTAAGAGGAATCAGACAATAATAGGGAGTTGTTGTGTGTAATTTAAATTCTTTAAGAGTCAACAAGTGTTTTCGTGGTAGGAAAAGATGGAACATTTCAAAGTCTCAAACATGTATATGTCGTTAAGATTGGTTAAATTCTCAACAGAATTGCAAGTTTCTGCCACGTGTTAAAAACATGCAAACGAAGGCTGGATATGGTCCACACGAGCAATTCAACTATTTTAAATATTTTAATTGAAAATAATTATCTTGGAAATTACTCAATGAAGAAATGTTGAATGGTGGGAAGCAGCATAATGGAAAATCCCTTGTAATCAGGCAAAGAAAATGGAAAGAAAGCAAGTAAATGCGTGATCAGTTCGAAGAAATAGAGTATGATTACTTGGGAATGTGTATGAAAAGGAGAGTTAGCGAATAGATTGTCGTATTGTCACTATAACAGGACAGTAAGGGTTGTCGTTTTCTAAGCCACTTACCCTCCGTCAAAAGTTTTGATCCGAGGATCGGTTGAAGATGTGCATTCAGCTGAATTTGCATCTTCAATCTGTACCTTTATCAAAATAATATCAATGTAAGTAAAATGTGTAACAAACATATAGGCTGTGACTGTACAAAAAAACCAACATAGTTAACAGCCTGTAAAAATCATTAATACGTTACAATATTGTAACTCCTCTTATTCAAATACACTGGAACACTTTTACTTCAATAAAATAAGCAAAATTATATTTTCAAATATGCACTTAACCGATACCATTATTGAAGACAAAAATGTTACCGGAATATTGCTGAGCTTATACTCGTGCCAAATGCTTCGTGCGTCAATAGGTGGTGAAACAGAATACTGTAACTGATCAAAAGAAATGTGACGAGATTGCAATTCTCCAAGGGATTTGGTTCCATCGTAGACAGGAAAAACCGTCATTGGTGTCGAAAATATCGGCAATGAGTTATTTCCTGGAAATAGTGTCGCTATACAAGTCTCTTGTACGTTGACATCTGCCAGCGTTGTAACAAATTTAAACTGAACTTGATCCGACGTCTCATGACTCTTTACCGTTATAGGAATGTAGGACGCAAGCTGTATGACGAATGGCTCTAATTTTGACAGAGACAAAGTGATTCTACTGACTTCTGTAGTCGAACCTTTCTTAAAGACCTAAAAATATAGATATACACTTCCAAATTAGCCTTAAAATAGAGAATTTGATTTGAGGAACAATTAGCTTAATTGATGTAGGCAAAAATATAATTAAGGTTACATTGATTTAATTTTATGGATGGCATCCTCTGGAGACCCTGCAACTAATGCGAAAGGTCAACAAAACGGCAAATAAATGCTGGTAAAGTAAAGGAATGCACAGCCGGAAACACTGATTGAACAACAGAACATCGTGTATAAAACAAACAACTCGTCTTTATTCTCGCTGACAGATTAAAAAGTAGTAGTTATCTGCTTTATCTCCGTGTATCAAATAATTTTTTTCACGATAATTTGTTTTTTGAGAATATTTAAGTGTTAACCCTTACCTGCTTCATATCTGTATTATACCAACATCTGAATATAAGATACATTTTAGGGCGGGCATATAGATATATTTTACCCCCAACTATCTAGCCGTTGAGAAAGGAATGACTGTGATAACATGATGTTGCATACCAATCTACAATCATGTCTTCTTGTGAAATTCTATGGTTATGTCATATGAGGACAAAAAGAACCAAACTTTTGAATCCAGGTTTGATGGCAATTCACATTTTCAGATGATGCACTTTACAACAAATTCAGCAGACTTGTGGTAAAGATAATCGAGTTTGCGAAAACACAGTCTTTTGAGTTAGCATAGAGGGTGCCAGCAGTGCCTAGTAGGTGATTTTTTAGTACAGGTAAAAATGAATGCGCGCGCAGACAAAATTAAATCAACATGACCTAAATCATATATTTAAAACTGTGTTACTCTGAAGCATTGTAAAATGTATTACGGTATTATAAGCTTTTTAATGGCAGTAAAGAAAATGTTCCTAAATAATTCTATGCTAAAACATATCCTTCGGCAAAAATAATTTTATTACAGATATAAAATTTCAAGATACAATAACTAGTCAGTAAACTTGCAAATATCCAGACACTTATCAGCCTACTAATTTTACACATATAATACACTTAATGTATCGCGCATAAATATCTATTTCATATATTTACCTTTACACCTGCAAAAATGCTGTTGATGCTGTATGCAAAATCTTTCATTTCATCGTTCATATATTCTTTCCACCGCCCTTTTGTTCTGCAAGAAATCTAAAATAAAAAAGTTGAAAACATTGCTGAAATACATCTGGTTTACCTATAAACCAAAAGTATTAATAATATTGTAACTAAGTTTGTAACTGTTGTTCATTTACTTTGTTTAACGCTTGACTTGTAAGCAAATGTAGTTTGGGGTGGTTTAGAGGTGTCAGTAGAAATTTGTATTGCTACGGTACTAGTAGGCAGCGGTCGTACAATGTCCATTAATTGGCGTGCTAACAACTACATTTTCTGGCGGCTGATCAAGCAATTCCTCGAGAGAAAGATATGGCTACATTTCTCCAAAGTATATACCACTGATAGTACTGCTCCAGTTTCCGTCTACAGCCTCACCAACCCCTATAGTACAAAAAAACTGTACATAGGCGCATTCAGAACCGATGATCCGGGGACTAACTGATCCGCAGACTAAATATGGTTAATCCCACTTAAAAGCAAGCCGTCTAATCTTCTGATGGTCTCCCAGCCTTAGCACTTTGCATTTATTTCGCATTCCTGAGCGCCCAGATGCAATTAAACGATCAAATCCAGTCCAATTCACAGCCGGCTCAAAAACTATTTAAAAATGATACAGATTGCTTGAATGGGATATTAAGGCTTATTATACTTAGAACCAGACCATTAATTCCATAAAATTATAATGATTGAATTAAACTTGGTAAAAAACCATGTTGTTTAACCATTAAAAGTTTGGTGTCGGCTTTGAATAATGCATCTCTGGTTGCAGCTAATCAAAGAAGACAGGATTTAGTTAACATAAAATTGGCCACCTTGCTTGAAGAATCGCTAGTCGATACACTGTTTGCGGACGCATATAATTTACAAGCATGTAACTTGTCACTGTTTCCAGAGAAATCGCTACTTGCACTTGCGCTTACAATCTGGATTTAGAAGGATGCATGTTTTAGGTATCTTTTGAGTACAATTATTTTCATTGAAACATCTGTTAATCCTTGGACGGCCAATCTATAATGCCACAAAGGTGGTGTAAAATTAATAGAAAGTTTAAATCTATTCAAGGACGTAAGGGTATGCTGTTTAATTACACACTCACTGTATTTTAATTATTCTTTAATTTTCAGAAAATTAATAAGATGTGCTAATAAGGATGTGCCATCCCTTTGATGATGGCGATTTATACGCCGGCGGGAAAACTGGCTCTCAAGTTCATCAAACTGATGGACAAGATGTATCCCGTATTCATTGGATGAGCGTGTCCAGTGATGCAATAAATAGGTTATCATAATGATGCATAGCAACGTATGCATTTTCTTAAGCGGAAGCCGTTTAAAAGTGACACATAAAACACGTTTAATGTATAATGAATCTCTGCCTGCTTTGTTTAACCACCTTTCTCTTCGTCTCTTGTGGAAAGAGTTAACGCGGTGGTCTGCCAGGCTGAAAAAATACCATTTAATGCTGATAGATAAAATATAGTTTACATGAAATGTATATGGCCATTTTGCTGCCCGTATGGTTGAAAAATCACTTTTGTGGACATCCGCCTCTCCCACTCTACTGAATCGCTACATGCCTCTATCGAGAGTGTACAAGTACTTTGTCCTTGGATGCCAGAACCTCATCATTGCAGTTGACTTCAAGTCCTTACCGAAGGTCTTTAACTGCAGGTCCCTTGATGACAAACCCTGCCTCAGAAACTTGAAGGAAAAGACCTACAGATACCGCTTCCAGATGGTACATGTACATGGCGTCGAACACCTTGCTGTGGATTGTGTATCTCGAGATACATCCCACAGGAAACCCAGATAAACTCCCACTTCTTGATGACGTTGCTGACATTAACCAACACTACCCTTTGTCCCAAATCCTACCCCCTGCCCCCGACCACAAGACTGGAACTGAAGTTGAAGTACGACAGTTCGATCAATATGATAATAATAAATGACTTGTGACGAGTAACACTACTGAACAGGTAATCCCTCCAGCGTTACACTCCTGTCTTGCAACAAGCACCTATCCAGACCAAAGACTGTAATTTTCAACTCATGCATGCTACCCCACCACTTGCCAAGCTTGCTGCTGATCAGGAGGCAAGCAGGAAAGAAATCTTTGGCTAACCTCTAACACGTACTGTGAAATTTAGCCATTACAGACTGAACCACCCATGCCTCAACTGTTCAACACCCCCTACCCGCCGCATTGACGCCATCCAGAGGCGACACCACTTCAAAGCGATTCTATTCTTCCTGGATAGCAAATCCACGCAGGTCTATGAGTGTGGACACACCTGTTTGCACCACTCGACGCCCCAGAACAAAGGATATTCAATCTAGGCCCCGTAACTTGAAAGCATCGCAAGCGTCTCGATTCCATAATTCGCCCATACTCGCTCTATATAATGCATTGTAGCCTCTATGTGATATCGCTATTCGCAATACGCGATTCTTACGAGTTACTGACCCCTGTAGTCTAGATGACTGGTGCAAAAATTGCTCAAAAGGTGGAAAAAGCATGAAACTTGGCACAAATGTTCTTTGGACTATGCTGATCATTTTCAAGGGCAGTGCCCAAAATTTCAAAGCGTTGCTTAGCAACAGTTGCTAAGGAAGTGATTTACCTTAGTAACAAGATAATTGGACCTTTCTTGTTCAGTTTAAATGATTTAAAAAGGCATTTAATAATGTTTCAAACCATCAGAACTATCACTATACTATTTTAAGACATTAAAAACCCAAGTAAACCATTGCAACAGTTGCTAGGCAGCATATTACCCTAGCAACAAGTATTTAAAATGCTGAATTAGCCCAGAAAGTTAGTGTTAAGGTTGATTTTTTGTTGAGTTCCTCTAGACAGAGGGGAGTTCAAATGTCATTAATAATATCATTGATGTAAAAAAAAAACAAAAACATTTTTACACCATCTTTTATGGAAAATAGTTTTTTAATT